CACCAATCATGTAAATGGTTTTGATGTCCCTTTCATCCATTTGAAATTTGTGTTACTTCATGCAGAACATGGAGTTTTCTACTCAGTACATTTGCTATCCTCTTCCTTCTGATATCTTCAAAGCAGGCCTGAATTCTGTATCTTTCTAATAACTTTATATCTTTATTCTCAGATGTCTACCCCTCTGACCAAACAGTGTTGCTGGTGAAAGCGTGTTTGGCAGTTTACTTTTTAAATCCTGGAGGTTACTGAGAAACCTCTAAAGATAAAGCCAGCACTCGAAGAGTTAATATGTTATTAGGAGGACAGGAAATCTGGCAACTATTGCAGAAACTAGACCTAATGGTGCACACAAACAATTTGTCAGTCTTGGTAAATGTGAATAGCTTTCCGCAAAGTGGCTGCGTTTGCTTTGTTTGAACAGCCTAAACTTTTCCTTTTCGAACTTTAAATCTTAGAAGTGAAATGTGATCCCCATATTGAATCAAAATAATTTAATTCAAAACATATTTTGATTGGAACAAGGTTGACGTGAAAAGAAACTCTAGAATAAAAAAAAAAGTTGAAAGGACTTTTCTATCATATATTTAGCAGGAAAATTTGAAACAGTTCTAATTAGGCTGAAAAAACCAGCCTTCTTCATTGTAACTTACAAAGGTCATATATCAATGTTAAGGCAGCATTACCAACTTGTGTCTGAAAGCCTGAACGTTGCAAACATCATTCTAGTTGTTTAGTTTTGTGGGTTTGGGGTTTTCTTTTGAATGGATGTGCACACATGTATTTTCAAGCCAGAACACGTATTTAGTTTAAAGTACTTACCTGCTTCTGCAGTTCTGTGGGTGTTTTGTCATGTCCAAGAAGAGTATTTTTCACCTGAAAGTTGTGGTTGTGCTAAAAAATGTGTGAAATTCTAATTCATGCTTTTCTCTTCATACATAAATATTTTTTAAGTGGATCATAAAGGAATCCATTTTAAGCGTTTCAGAGAAAATTCTTCAAGAGAAAAATTTAAATGTTTAGTCCATTAAAGGTAAAAGGCTTTTTTTTTTTTTTTTTTTTACTTGAGATTTATTTCTTGCTGGTGAGGTGTATTCCTAGGTGTGTTGGTTTGGTTGCTGTTGTTTGTTTTTGTTTTTTTAATTGAATAAATAGGAAAGATTACTCATGTACAAGCAGTTTTGGTTTCACATCAAAGTTTCTCCTTTCATTTTAGCATTTCATAAACCACATTTTGTATGGGTCGGACTCCTTTTCTGTCATTCAAGTAAGAGTTGCACATATGCTTTATGCTGTGCTTCAAAATTACTTTGCTTTAATCAGCATAGGAATAAGGCAAGTAAGTCTGAGTAAGTCTGTCATTTATTTCTGAATAGCTTGACTATGAATATATATCTGTGCTGATGAAAAAAATGCAGTTAAACCTTTAATCTAATTTCAGTGTTGGAGCATCCCAAACTCAAGCATGGTATATATTCATTTTTAATAGACATTACTTTATATGCTGTATGTCACTGCATAAAATGTAAAGCAGAAATAAAAGTAGAGGGCAAAAGCTGTAGTAGTCACTTCAAAGATACAAATCTTGATTCCAAAGGTATAATATTGTTTGGGAAAATATATCATGATAAATCTTTAGAGAATCTATACTGGAAAAAGGAAAAATCATTCCCTGCCTGCTAGTTTTATATTTTTTTTTGTTCCATCCCTGTTGTTCTGTATTTTTTGTTGCTCCATCCCTGTTCTACCAAATAATTAGTATTAGACTGATGTTAGTCTCTGGTTGCCAGCAGTAAATTATTCTCTGTTCAATCCTTTCAGAGAACAGGACAGAAAAAGATGCTAATGAAGTATTGAACTTCAGAGTTGTTCACGATAAATTCATAAAAATATTTATGAATAAAGTAAAATTTCCTAGTTAGATCAAAGCTTCTATTTGTTGATGTGTCTGAAATATTCCTTCCTTGGGAATAGAGAAATTAAAGTTACTAATAGGTGTTTGTGTTTGACATCTGTATACTGTACTTTTTAGCATATCTCAAGTGTTTTAGTCTCTGCCTAATAGATCTCATTAAAGAAACAGGTATCAGCCCCAAGACAGTTTGTCAAAGTTAATATGAGTCCCCTGTGGACAGAACTGACAATCTGTGTGTGGCTTCATGTGGCTGCCTTTCCATGGGCTTGTTTGATCCATTAACAATTGAACATTAGTCCCTGATTTGTTTTACAGTAACTCAATGAGATTGGATATTGCTGTGTATGCTGGGCATTTTTGGGGTTTCCTTGCTGTACACGTTTCCCTCAGAGGACAGGGTGAGCAATGTGCTCACTCTGCCCTTAGGGAGCTGGCAGTTCCTTGGTTTGCTCCAGGAGCAGCATGGAAGGATGTTCATATCCCATGGCTGTGTGCTGGGTTTAACTCGAGCCTTAACGAGCACTGCCTGTCCTAAATGAATGTGAGGCTGAAGTAATCTAAATGCTGAACCATCGATAGGCTTGGTTTAGGTTTGCAAGAGGTAAATGCTAACAGCAATGCTTAAAAACAACAAACAAGGCAAACCCGCTTCTTTTTTCTAACCAAATAGGTCTGCAAATGGCAACATCTTTATTTCTCAGATGCTTTTTTAAGGAGGACCCATATTTAAATATACCAGTGTGGCTGCCAAGTGCATCACCCTTATCCGGCACATGGTCTTGTTTTCCTTGGAATCTGTTCTTTAGTCATTATACAAGCTGTTAGTTATTGTTCCCCCATTGATTATGTCATAGCATAAGCACTTTCCTCTAACCAAGAGCTTAACTGTGAACCTGAAATACCAGGCAAGCTTACTTGGCCTTTGAATTTGTTTGGTCTGTCCTTTGAGGTCCTGATGCTGACTGTAGCTGGTTTTCAGTTATCCCTTTCACTTGGGATTTGTCAGCTAAGAAGATTTTTAAATGGCTTAATAAAGGAAAAAAAAAATCTGCTTTAAAATCTGTACAATTTTCAAAAGTAAAATAACTTCAAATTTGAAAAAGAGAAGTAAGATCAGGATGGCTCCCAACCATTCCCTGAGAAGGCAAAGCATTTTAGTTTTGCTTTCTAAAGGAAAAAAAAAAAAGCCAACACATTTATACAGGTATTAATCTAAGGAGCTTGTGCTGATATTCCTTTAGTTCTTCAGGTCCAAATGCTTTGTGAGGTTAATATGACTCATTAAAAACCTAGCTTTTGTAGAAAAGGAGAACATGAACAATTTTAACACATGCTGAATCTTTATGTATGTATCTATAAAAAATTCTCAAGTTCCTAACATTCTCGTTTTCTTGGCATTAAATAGTTATAATGATAACAGTAAGTATGTTCCAGGGTATTTTTTTTAAAGTGAGATAGCATGAAAATCAATTCTTAGCATTGTCATTTGCTGAGCCCTGTAGAATTTTATGGCTGCACATTGCAGTATTATGGACACTCATGAGACTCCTGACTGGTTTTATCTTATTAAACAATTTTGAAATCATTAATTTTTAATTGGCCTGCTTGTGTTTTTTTATAGTTTTAATTGTGTGTCTGTGTCTAAATATTGGGTGTTTTTTAAATTAAAAAGAAAAAAAATGTCCTGTCTAAGCTTATATGTTGTAAGGTATTGCTGTGTGATCATCCAAACAGATACTGTACTGTGTGGTGATTCATTCTAAAGAATGCTTTCAGCAATTCAGTATCCTAATAAAAGTAATAATAAAAAAAGAATGATATGATGTCTAAGATATGTACAGGTCTTTTCTTGATTGAAAGTTCTAATTAAGTGAATCGAGGAAAATTAACTGAAATTAGCTGTCAGAAAGTCACATTTAAATGAGTGATGATCTGGTGTGGCAGTAAACATTTAAATGATATAAATTGCCATTTAAGTGTATGGTTTAATGTTTGTCATGCATTAATATGACATGAGACTGCAGTGACAATCAAGCAGCTTGCTCTAATTTGAACATATTTAGGGCTTTTGTGTGGAGTGCACCGCACAAATTAAGACAATTGCTGGTTTTATGTGTCAATTTAAATGTTGTTTTCAGGCATCGGTTAATGAAACAAACCCATCATTTTTGTGTGCAAATTGCAGAGTGATTTCCTTGGTTTTCAGATTAATTTCAACTTCCTCTGCTCAAAATTAGGAATTTCCTTTGCAAGGAAAATGCCATTCATTTTGGTAGATGAAGAGAATATTTGTTTGTTTTTTCATTTGGTAATTCAAATCAGAAATACATTGAATCCTCTGTATAAAACAGAAAAAACAAATCCTGATCGTGATTTAATCTACATGAATTAACTCTTTAGATGACAATGAGTTTTCGGTTACCTTTTAATGTAGTGTTTTTTGGATGCTTCTGTCTTAGGGATTGGGTTGTAACTGGATAACATCTTCAGAAAAATAGCTGAATCATTCAGCATAGTACTTCTGTATGGTTTCTATATAAGTTTGTACACAAGAACCGCATGACAGTGGTGGCAGTTTGATATTTCCAGCCTTTTAAATTTTTTTACCCTAACATGCCTGGTTAGTTAGTCCTGTTTCCCAAATTCTATCAATCTTCTCTCTGGCTGTCAGAATCAGATAATCCTGCTGTTGTTATTCAGCATGCAGATCACACAGGAAAACACAATTTCGTCTTGGGAGTGCATAGAAACATAGCTTGGCTGTGTGTAAATGCACAAATGCTTTCCACTTGCTGCTTTTGATTTTATTTTTTTTATGTTTTTTTATTTTTTTTTCATATTTCCACTATTACAGTTTAAAAAGAGACGTCTCCCAGTCAGTGGGAAATAGGGCATGAGACTCTGGCATTTATCACAAGGCCTACCTTTTTTTTCTATAGAATATCTAAAATACCCTTATCAATTCTGTATTTAGACTTGTTAAGATAATTTTGCATGCTATAAAACAAAAATGCTCCTACTACTACCAAAGGATAACCATCTGGCAAACTCAAGTTTGTGTTTTTTGTGTGGTTTTTTTTCACAGGCATTAGAAAGTGAGTTTGTTTCCTGCCAGCTTCACCAGTGGATTGATCTTATTTTTGGCTACAAACAACAAGGACCAGAGGCTGTTAGGTCCCTGAATGTATTCTACTATTTGACTTACGAAGGAGCTGTTAATTTAAGTTCAATAACGGATTCTGTACTGAGAGAGGTAAGTTTGTACTTTAGAAATACAGAAAAGTCTTCGTTAACCACTGCGGAGTTGAAACTGTAAAGGCTTCACATTATTCAAGACTTCTGGTGAATGTTTAATTTCTTTGTGTTTTCTGGTGGCTTGGCCACGGGCCAGTCAAATGCAAGGTGCCTGAACCAGTTGTCACAGCATGCAGAATTAATAGATCAAGTATGCAAGTTGTTCTTAAACTTTGTGCCACCTGGATTTCAGCCCAAGCTGGATGCTAATATAAAAAGAAATGTTCAAGGATTACTTCAGCTGCTGAGTTCAGTCATTTTTCCTTGATACTGTTCCTTAATACTGGATCTTAGTGACATGAGCAACCTTGATTTGGCTTGTGCTTCCGAATTTACTCTTGCACTTTTAGCAGTTCTCTTCAAGTGCAGTCTCGCATATGTAGCAAGCATCAAACATCGGGGTTATGTAGCCTCTGATATTTTAATTTGGTTTGCTATCAAGTTAAGATAATTTGGCCTGTATTTTTCAGATGCAAAAGTAAATATTTCAGCATTGGAAAGATCAGTAACTTTACTCAGATTCAGAATCATTCAGTAAATCTGTTTGCCAAAGTATCTCACAGAATATTGTGGGTTTAAAGGTTCCTCCTCCTCCACCTAAACAGCTATTTAAAAAAGGGCAGGGCAGAGTGGGGTGAGGAGAACAGATTTTTGAATGATTTCATATCCTCTCTTCAGACAGTATATTGGTAGCAAGTTTATCTCCAAGTACATTAATTATAGAATAAATGTAAACAGCACTTTGTTATTCTGAGTCCATGAATACAAAGCAATATGAATGTTTTCAACTGTTTTAGTTAGAGGGGACACAAGCACTGGCTTAATATCAGTGATGGCTCAGTGTTGTCATTACATGGCTTAAAATCAGTATGCAAACTGCATCTTAGTCTGTTTAAATCAAGAATACATGTGTTGCACTTAGATACCCTTAATCAAGCTAAGGAAAGGGATACTGAGACACATGACTTACAATGTCATCATCTGGATTTGGAAAAGTTTTTGAACCAAGAGTCATTTAGTAGATGTTCACTGGGACACGTTTCCACTTCACTGATAGTGTTTGCTCACTCGGCATTGGCAAGGAATTATCCTTACCTTTTAGGAGTATTTATTAGACTTTTGAAGTGTTTGGTTAAAGTGTGAGCTGAAATGTTGGCTGGTTATTGTGTGGAATTTGTTTTAAATTTTGTTATTAAATGAACCATCATTGAACCTTTATTTATGAAACTAATAATTGAAGTAACACTAGTGAAAGTAACAGTCTCCACACAAAATTTTTGTGTAGGTTTATTTTTTTCTCGAAAAATTCTTCTATCACATTTATTGTGATTTGTTTTACTTGAAAAAAAATTAGGACCAGTGAAGTTACAAATGTTTGGAAGCGTGGATCATCTCAGAGAGGAATTCACTTTGTTACCAAATATTTTGAATTTGTCACATTTTTTTATTGTACTTTGCTACAATGTTTCTTATTTTTGAGTTGTTCTGTGCTGTCTGAAGTGACTAAAAATGAAAACAGGAGAGGGAGAATTGCAGTGTTGTTGAGTTCTAAACAGTGGAGTAGCTTAGCAGCAGCAGAATTTCGAAACACTACTCACGGTGTCAAAAATACACACTGATGAATGCAGGCAGCAGAATGAATGGTGTCTTATAACACTTTTGTTCTGAGTTGCTTGAAGGATTGGCCTAATGGAATATTTTAATTTAGGACTTTTAAGCATGCCACTAAAACAGTGAAAGGTCTCCTGTTTAGTTAGGTATGCCTTGCCATTTACATGTATTTTGTAAAGCATATTTGTTATTATCTAAATGCATGTATGTAATTTTAAATGACATATGTGATCAACTCTGATGCAATACTCCAGTATTTCTCTCCAGATCGAGAAATTTAATGACTCTCATCATCAGTAATGACTTACTCTGGTTTTACATAGGTGTAGAGATGAAAGTAATGAAAAATCTATGTTTATTTCTATATGCATAATCATTCTATATCTATGTGCTAAATTAATTTATCATGCAACTTTGACGGCCTCACCTTCTTTCTGCTTGCTGATCCTTCTCCCTGAGGACCTGTGCTAACATTCTGTGCTGCCAAGCAGCTTCAATCAGCATTCATTTTTTCTCTTTCAGTCAGCTTGCCAGAAAATATCTCCTCTTTTCCCCACCAAATTCCTGGTCAGCGCCCAAATGAATTTCTGATGTGGACAATTAAGAGTATTTTTAGGCAGACATGGCGCCTCAGACTTAGTGTCTTTTTATTAGATACTGCCTGCTACAGTTGTAGCACAAAAAGTATTTTTATTTGCAAACCTAAACCAAAGAGAAGCTCCTGTATATTCTGAGAGCTGCAAGTTATTGAGGCTTTTAGGTGTCATATGGAAATAATAGCAAGTGCTTAAACTGTGGCCATTTCCCCACCCAGATAGTGCTGAGCCTGGACCACATCAGCAATGAGAGGCCTATGATGCATGTGTTTCTGAGGTATCTCCACAGATATATGCGTGGGTATTGGTGACCTAACTCATCAAAGAGGCCACACACAGAACAGTGGTGGAAGGCACTGAGGAGTGGAGGGGTGTAGGTTAATGCAGAATTTCCTTAGGTCTCCTAAATGGCTCCAACTGGCACCTTTATTTTTATATGCAGTCAGGTTATATATATTACAAGAAGGAAGTACTCGTCTAGGAAGGAAAACTACTTGATTAAAACCATATTCCAGCATTCTTTTTTTTTTCTAACTGAAAACGTAGAACTTTTACATCCTCTTATACCACTGTGAACAATTTTTTCCTGACATTCTTTCTGCCTATGGGAATAAAGGAAGTAAAGTATTTTGAAAGGATCTGACTGCCATAATAGAAAATTTTAAACTAAAATGCAAACCATGGGCCACATGCTACCTTTTGGCAGATAAACCCTGGGGAGTGCAAAGCTTGCATAATTCAAAGGCAAATCTCAGGGGGAGGGGAGTAGATCGAGAGAGGAGGGTTTGAGTCACAGCCAGTGGGGGAAGGGAACTGCAGCCTGGAGAAGTAAGGCAAGAGATCCAGTATCCCTGCTGTCATATCGGTGCACTGCTTATCCTGCAGACACCACTCCTTCCTCCTCCTCCTCCCTGCCAAACATTTTGGTAGTGCTGCCATTGACTCTGCTCCTTGTGTGACTTGCTGAAGGAGGTGACAGCTGCAGAGGGAAGTTGCTCTTCCCTGGGCAAGCAGTAAATATCTTTCTGGTGGAAAACGCTGCATTTCCCAGCAGAGCTCTGCTGTGTCACTGCCTTATGTTGACTTGCTCTTGAGGACCACGTTTTGATCTGTGGAACTCCCAATCACAAGATCTGCTGTGGAAGGGCTCTCTTTTTTTGCCTGGATGGAAGGGGCAAGAAGTCATTTAGCACAGACAAATGTCATCCAGCTGTTCTGGAGAGAATTCACAGCACCCTCTTATCAAAAATTCTGCTTTCTTTTTGCCATGGCTGTCCAAGAATGGAGGGTGGGGGGGGAAAGTAGAATTAGATCTAAGTCATTCAGGCAAGTAACTGGTTAAGAGCTGAAGCACAATCCATACAAAATAATTTGTATCTAGGACTGATTGGTGGGTATTTCATTAGTGTTGGTCAGAAGAATAGAAATTCCTCTTGTCTCTGGCTTAGCATAACAAAAGATGATTGTGAATGAGGGCTGCCCTCAGTTACTACTTAAAAGTTCATTTCTCCACTGATATCTCTATGTAGTAAGTGTAAACACTGGATAAAGACAAAGAACAGAAAGTTAGTAGCAGGAAGACAGAATATTATTTGGAGAATGCATCCTTGATTTGTACAGGAAGTTCAAATTGTATTTGTATATAGAATTTGTACTTCTCTACCCTTCAGGAAGCATTCTGAATTTTTTACCATGCTTATCAAAAAGCCACTTTTAAAAAATCAAAACAAAACAAAGCCATCTCATATGATCTTTGAAGTCAGCAATTAAGGGAGACTAATAATTTTTAAATTAACAATAATAGCTCTAAAAACATAAAAATAAGCTCCATTAAATTATTAGCATCGAGTGATTTCCTTTTAGCCTTAGATGGTTCTGTTGTTTTGTACTTCTTTTGAAGAGAAAGTGTCTTTTTGTTACATGAAGGTGGTCTGTTTAACATTAGGAAGCAAGCTTTCTCCATTCTTTTGGCACTTTTCTTTCTATTGATGGTATTTCATTTCCATATGAACTGAGGAGTTTCAAAAATTATGAAGAATCAGCTTTGACGTAGTATTTGGCTTGTTACTCGAATGTGCCACTTCTGATTATATATATGTATATATAAAGGATAATTCTTTTATTTTCAATTTTAAGGCATATGGGATAAATTATTTTGTGGATAATAGCTTTTAAATGTTGTTCAAGATTAATATCTTTGAGTAGTTTTATACATCTTATGTCTATCTCTTATGAGACTTAAGACTTATTCTTAAGTGTTTACAGTTTGAAAGACTTCTATGCCCAAAAGAAGTTACAAGGATGCTTAGTTTACATGACCCCAGCTTCATGACAGCAGCAGCAGATCTGATATCCCAGAGAAAGCATTTTGGCCTCTCCTTTAGCTCTGGTCATGGTGGGAGTTAATAGCATATTTCAGCTCTAACTCAGCTGGAGGACCCTGACAACAGTGAATCTTTCACAGAGTATAAACATAATTTGTATTTATAACATAGTTAACATTTACTAAATAGTTGGGAAAACGATCAGTCTGGATTTAGCAGGCTGGGCAACAGTCTTTGTTGTGGCTGTGATGAGTTTTAAAATGTAGGATAAAATGGTTATAAAATAACTGTCACAGGGCAGTAAATTTCCATGTGTTGTATTCGGTAAGTAACAAATCCATGCAGGCAACATTCAAAGTACCATAGAAACTATCTTTGAATTATCTCTGGCTGGAAGTGTGCTGCACAGATGGCATGTTTGGGGTTGT